CTCTTATATATATATATATATATATATATATATATATATATATATATATATATATAACTACATTAATAGAATTATTGAAAATATTAATTATAAAGCTAGTATAAAATAGTTAAATTTTCTCTTCCGAAATTAAACAAAGAAGGGTGGTTAACTCAGGCGAACCAGCCACCACATTTTTGGGCTGCATACGAATTTGGGGCACCAATTTGGGCCTCTCAATATGGGCTTATCAATATGGGCCTGTAATATCAGCCCAAATAATCAAATTAGAAGCGAAGCAAGATTTGAGGGTAACAGGCTGATGTGGAGAAGGCAACAAGAAATTGGGCCACATTAGGGAGGAAGGAAAAGGTGCCACGTGTAAGAACCCCAAAGCAGGCCCCCATCACACGTCAGATATTTAATTTCAGTGTAAAGATGATTAGATAATGATGTGGACATTGAAGAGAGTGATTTGGCACAAATACAACACTACGCAACATGCGGTTATAATCTATTCCTCTATCACCGCCAATTCCAATAATTATTTTATAAAATTAAACATTACAAATTTTAATTTTAATTTATTTGCAGGGAGAGCCCCCAATGAGTTGAGTAATTACATTAGAGTGCCCAACTAAACCCAGCGGGCCCCACCATCTCCTTTTATTCTTAATCATGAGTGGCTCGACATTTTACGAAATTCCCCCGATATTTATTCATTTTTACAGTGGGCTACCCTACCCTTTTTCCAAAAGGATCATTCCCTAATTTCCTTTTTATCTTTTATTTTATTTATTTATTTATTTTTTTATGTAGTCGGCTCCGGCTGGCTCCGGCTGGCTGGCTCGGCTGTGTCGGCCTTCAATTATGAGATTAATTAAAGAGTTGAGGCCAGATGGTTATGAGCTGTAATGTGATTGGCCATGTAAGATTGCAATAAAATTAATGTTTAATTAGTGAATGATTATCTTTAATCATAGAGATTCGTGAGCATTAGCTGTGTATGGAATTGTAGATGAGGGTCTCACGTGACATTTATCATTTTAATTCAATATAACCCATTCACACTCATTATTAATCTAAACTATTATTTATCTATTTTAATTTTAAATATATTTCCTTTGATGTTTCGGTCTTTCACACATGTGACCGCCACATCGAGGGAGAATCCCCTATTATCGTCGGAAAATCTTTGCAATGCAAGGTGGTGAGAGAGAAGGGCAGTGTAAGTCGTTAATTTTAAATTAATCTATAAAACTATGTATTAGATGTAACCTATGTAAGTGTAATTAGGAGTGTACATAGTTTGAGTTGAGTTGAATTTAAGATTTTTTTTTGGGTTGGTTAGGTCGGGTTGGAGAAGGCAACCCAACCCAATTGAACTTTATGTTTTTAGTTGTGTTAGTTAAGTTAGTTTGGGTGACATCATCAAACGACATGCATGTTCAAATGACGATGAACACAAATATAAGAGATGTTATAAGAATGGTCCGTGGATGAGAGATCTCTTGTGAATGACAAATAGTGAATATGGGAAGTGACAATGGTGTGAAGAGTTATCATGTTGTTAAGAATGGAGAAAAAGATAGAAAAGCTATCAGTTTGGTTCGGAATAAATCGAAAACTTGGTTATTGAACCTGTGAGTGAAACAAAACCGGTCAATTCTAAAACTAACTAAATAAAGATCAAATTCTTTAACCGTCATTTTTCATGAATCAGGTTTCAATTAGATGTTAACGTGACTTTGATCGACCTTCATAAGTTTGAACATTATTTTCATAAATCTTGATGTCATTGGATTTAAATTTATAAAATAATCAAAATACTATGAAACACAAATTTAATTTCATGGCTAATTGGTTCGAAACTTTTCAAAACATTAAATAGGGTTGTGAGACAGGTCACGATACATAGTGAACAAAATTGGACAATATTATAGTAGTAGTGGGCTTAGATTGTTACAAATGGTAGCAGAGCTAGATACAGTGTGCTAATGAGGATGTTGGGCCCCTAAGGGGTGAATTGTGAGATACTACGTTGGTCGGAGAGTAGAACCTCTCTCTAGTAGACATGTTTTAAAACCGCGATACTAACAACGGCACGTTACGTGCAAAAACGAACAATATTTGCCAGTGGCAAGCGACGATATGTAACGAGCCAAAACGAATAATATCTACTAGTAGTGAACGACGATGCATAGCGGATCAAAACGAATAATATCTATTAGCGATAAATTTTTAAAAATACATGAAAATAAAAAAGTTAAGGGTAAAACGGAGAAAGTGTTTTGGTTGCGAAAAGGGGGTGGAGTATGTGATGATGAAGTGAAGTGAGCCCCCTTCCACAAATAATTGCCCATTGAAAAATGTAGTAAAAAATATAATTTATTTGACCTAAAAAAAAATAAATAAAAAAAGAAACAATTTTCTTTTCTCTTTATTTATTTATTTATTTTTGTTTTTTTCCCTTAAAAAAAAAAACAAACAATAATTCATTAAATTAAATTATAATAAATCTACTAAACTGAGATTCAACAACTGAAGGGCAGTCCCCGGGCAATCCGCTGCCCGGATTTACAGTCATCAAAACAGGAAAAGAAAGAAGCAACGTGGCAGAATTGTATTGGAGGTTAAACAGACGCGCGAAAACGCAAGTGGTGGAGGTTGGAGAAAGAAATGGAGTTTATTAGAGGCATTGTTTTACTCTGTTTCTTCTGCTTTTTCTATAATACGCAATTACTCGGCTTTCTCACTTTGGCTCTTCCCACTTCCCAATCGCTACAAAACATCCCATTTTCGTTATTAGCTTCACTGAGTCAACTCGGCCCTCCTCTGTTTCTTCTTCAACTTCATATACGATTCTCTGCTTTACTCTCAGTTTCCTCTTTAATTTTCAAGTTCTTGTAGATCTCTGTTTTCCTCGTCCTGTTCTTATTCATTTTGGTTTGAATTACTCGGCGTTGTTTGTTTCTGGGAAATTTTGAAGTACATTTTCGAATTTGATTTTCCTTATGGGGGTTTTCAGATAATCAATCTGTTGGGTGTTTTTTGAGGGGAAAAATGAGTTCGAAGAGGAAGAAGAAGGGGGGGTCAGGGGACTCGGACGAGTCGACTCGGGGTGGTTCCATTTTCCCAGATGAGGTATTGGAAAGGGTTCTGGGTTTGGTTAAGTCTCGAAAAGATAGAAGCTCTGTTTCCCTGGTTTGTAAAGATTGGTTCAACGCCGAGCGGTGGTCTCGAACCCACGTTTTCATCGGGAACTGTTACTCTGTTTCACCGGAAATTGTAATCCGACGGTTCCCGAACATTCGGAGTGTGTCGTTGAAGGGGAAACCTAGGTTTTCGGATTTCAATTTGGTGCCACCGAATTGGGGAGCTGATATTCATTCATGGCTTGTCGTGTTCGCTTCAAAATACCCGAATCTTGAAGAGTTGAGGCTCAAAAGAATGACTGTAACTGACGAGAGCTTGGAGTTTTTGGGTCGTTCGTTCCCTAATTTCAAAGCGCTTTCAATGATGAGCTGCGATGGGTTCAGCACCGATGGGCTTGCGGCCATTGCCACTCACTGCAAGTATGTCATTTCTTCTTCTTCTTCTTTTGTTTTGAAAACTGTGATTCATTAAGATGAGATCTGGGTTGTTTGGGAAATCCCTTTTGGAAGAATATTGATTTCTTTTTGTTTTAGATTCCCTCTCAGCAAATGGTTATGAAATTAAAGCAATGTTTGGTTTGGTCACTGATTCGTCTGTTTCAGTTAGTTTTATATGGGGTTGCTGATGGACACCACTCACACAGTATCGACTCCGAATCATATTCAAAAGTTTTGAACTCATAATAAATACAATTCTACTGCGTATGATTCTGTTATTGGTACCTATTATAATACCATCGCTCGCTCCTCATTGAACTCTGATGAGAAATTTTCAAACTTTTTTTTTTAATGTTCCCCTTTTTTCTTGGATGCAACATCGAACCTGCTTTTTTCTGTCATATGGTCGTTGGCCCGTCACATCCTTGTTGAAATCCCACATCCGTGGAAGAGGGAAATGGAAACATTCTTATTAATGGTGTTAAAACCTCTCTTTGAGAAGTCGAGAGAAAAAATCTAAAGAGAGCAATATCTACTAGTAGTGGTTGGGCTGTTATAAATGGTATCAGAGTCAGTCATGAACGTTGCGACGCACTAGTTGGAATAGGACTAGACCCTCTCTATAATAGACACGTTGTAAAACTTTGATAGTGTTAAGGATATTCAAACGTTTATTATAAACTAACAGATACGAACCCAAGAGGAAAATATTAGTTTTATGCTACAGATTACAAGTAAAACTATGACTTGTAATTTGGTGTCAGGAACTTGACGGAGCTGGACATACTTGAGAATGACATCAATGACAAGAGTGGAAATTGGCTGAGTTGCTTCCCAGATACCTTGAAATCTCTGCAAGTACTCAACTTTGCAAGTTTGAACAGCGACGTCAGTTTTGAGTCCCTTGAGAAGCTGGTAAGAAGGTGCAAATCATTGAAGGTTTTGAAGGTCAATAGGAATATAAACTTAGAACAATTACAGAGGCTGCTTGTTAATGCTCCTCAGTTAACAGAGTTAGGCACCGGCTCTTTCTCTCAAGAGCTCACTCTTCGGCAGTACTACGACCTCGAAGATGCCTTTAAAAGTTGCAACAATCTTCATACTCTCTCGGGCTTATTGGAGTCCACAGTGTTGTATCTCCAAGTTCTTTTTCCTGCCTCTGCCAACTTAACATTCTTGAATCTCAGCTACGCCATTCTGCACGGTGGTGAACTTGCTGGTCTTCTTTCCCACTGCCCCGCCCTCCGCCGCCTTTGGGTATGCCTCATTTTTCTCTCCTTCTATGACCATTGATTTTTGTTTTGGTTGAGCCTGGTAAGGATTGTCGGGAGGGAGTTCCACATTGGCTAAACTCAATTATACTTAAAGTGGACAATATCGTATCATTGTGGAGATTCATGGTTCCTAACAGAGCCCTCTTATTGGTGCAGGTTTTAGACACAGTTGAAGACAAGGGCCTGAAGGCTGTTGGACTGAGCTGCCCCTTGCTAGAGGAACTGCGTGTATTTCCAGCAGATCCGTATGCTGACAATTTAGTTCATGGGGTAACAGAGTCTGGGTTTCTTGCTGTCTCTTATGGCTGCCCTAAACTCCATTACGTTCTCTACTTTTGTCATCAGATGACAAACGAGGCTGTAGCCACCATTGTGCAGAACTGCCCAGATTTCACCCATTTTCGTCTCTGTATTATGAACCCCCACCAACCTGACTATCTTACAAAGCAACCAATGGACGAGGCCTTTGGTGCGGTGGTGAAAACATGCTCTAAGCTACGTAGACTAGCCATTTCGGGTTTGCTAACAGACATAACATTTGAATACATAGGGAAATATGCAAAAAACTTGGAAACTCTTTCAGTGGCTTTTGCTGGAAGCAGCGACTGGGGAATGCAGTGTGTTATGAGTGGTTGTCCAAAGCTGAGAAAACTGGAAATCAGAGACAGTCCATTTGGAAATGCTGCTTTGCTTTCTGGTTTGGAAAGGTATGAATCCATGAGATCTCTATGGATGTCGGCCTGTAAGGTGACGATGAATGGGTGTCGAATTTTGGCGAAGCAGGTGCCGAGGTTGAACGTTGAGGTTATTAAGGATGGTGGGAGTGATGAATGTGAGGCTGAAAGTGTTTATGTATACCGCTCCGTTGCAGGCCCGAGAAGAGATGCCCCGTCTTTCGTTCTCACCCTCTAAATCCTTGTAAGTATTAAGGATCATTTGGCTTTACAAAAAATGAAGTTCAAACTCCGCATCAGATTAGCTTGATTGTTGTTCTTGGGGAATTAATATGTTCTAATCTCATAAATCACATCCAATGATGGTGTGACAGTTGAAATTACTTGTTGCCGTCCTTCACCCATCTCTAGGCCTCCAATTTGGTGATGATTATGAGTCACAAATCTTGACCAGTACCAATGGCTCTTCCACACTTTGGGCATTTCTTCAATTGGGATGCCTTTGGTTTCAGGCAGGAAGAAGTAGACGAAAAGGGTCATCACACAAACCCATAACCCAAAGAAAATGAAGACTCCAAACTTCATGTGGCACAGCATCGTCAAGAACACTTGCGCATTTGCAAAAGTGAAGAACATGTTTGCAGATACATTCACACTTTGAGCCGCTGATCGTATTTCCAACGGCAAGATTTCACTGGGAACAAGCCAACCCAGAGGCCCCCAAGACCAAGCGAAACCTGCAACATAATTGCCTATGAAAAGCACCACTACGATTGCGTACCACTTTGGCAACTGTTCTACCATGCCACTCACTCCAAATTTTGCTCCAATCGCCCCTGCTATAATCGTCTACGGAAAACAACAACCAAAAACACACCAGGTTTAGATTAAGAATGAACAACAATAGTTTCTAATACGTCTCAACTTTTAAAAGTACCTGACAAATCAACATTTGAATGCCTCCCTCGAAAAAAAGGTACCTTCGTCCCCACTTATCGATGCCGTAAATCGAAACAATAGTGGCAAGCACATTCCAGGTGCCAGTGATGAGGGCGGACATCAAAGAAGCATCCGATTCGAAGCCGATAGAGTTGAAAAGGAGGGGACTGTAGAAAAGGATGACATTGATGCCGGTGAGTTGCTGGAAGAAAGGAATTAGTAGGGCCATAGAGAGGTGGGGTCTGTATTTCCTGTGCAGCAAGTTTCTCCATATATGTTTGACTCGTTTTGAGGTTTCACTGGCTGCAACCAAATCCTGAAATTCTTCTTCAACATCTTCAACCCCACGAACTCTTCTGAGTCTGTTCTTGGCTTCCTCATGGGGATGCTGTCCTCTTTCAATCATTGAATTGGGGGTGTCCGGAAGGAGGACTGAGCCAATGATGATAATCAGAGCTGGGACTATGGCTCCCCCTAAACTCAATCGCCATCCCCACCCACCCTTAATCTTGGCAGAGAAATAGTTAACAATATTGGCTATAAGGATGCCGATTGTGATGAATAATTGGAAGAAGAAGTTCAAACCGCCTCTGTTTCTATAGGGAGCCATTTCAGAAAGATAGAGTGGCAAAGACTGTAGTTGTGTACAACAATCCAACCAAAAACTATGCAATAAGTTAAGGTTGCCTAGTATTTATAAATTTATTGAACGCATAAAATTAGAAAATTTACCTGATTTGTAAATCCGATACCAAAGCCGAGTAAAAGGCGGCCGAGAATGAGCATCCAAAAGGCAGTGGCGAAGCCATTAACGATCGCGCCGACACAGAACAACACGCCGCCTAAGAGCATGGAAGATCTCCGGCCAAACTTACGCGTCACAGTTGAAGCCACGAGCGAGGCGACCAGCGCTGCTAAGTAGAGCGAGGACGTGAACATCGTCAAACTAGCACTGTCGTATTGGCAGTACTGGTTTTTGGTTGAAATCCGATTCTTTGTCTCGTAAACATCCTTAAAGAACTTCTCCAGAAAAGAGTCCATGGATGTCACCCCGCCTAAAATAATAACAATAATGTATCAATTCAATCATACTATAAGCTGCTTCTGAGTTTTAACAATTAAAGAAATGAAAGTAGTACCTGAAATTCCGATATCGTAACCGAAAGCGAGACCACCCATGGCTGCGACGATGCATGTTACGGTGACAAAGGGAGTAAGTTTCCCGGGATACTCCTTTATAGCCTCACCGGAGAGGACTCCTTCAGCTGCAGACATTTTAATGCTATGTATACGATTGCAGTACCCAATTTATAATTATAGTGGGAAAAGAAAACACTCCATAAAGCGACCGCAAGACCTACGAGTCAACGATAATACCGATCTTGTTTTGTAATTTGAAATTCCTGTCTTCAAACAATTATTAATTGTTTAAAGTCAAGCACTTTGACAATGTCAAGAGAAGTCTGCCCACATATTTGAATACCAAATTCCAATAATATTTTTGTATAATATTATATTAGATGATTACCATTGTTTTCCATGGGGGAAATCATTTTTTTCTTTAATATTCAGAATCAAAATTTGAGTATATTAAGAAGTAGTTTTTCTATTGGTTTGTTCTTGTTTATGAATCTTTTACTAGAGAGAAAGAAAGAAAGAAAGAACGAACGAAAGAAATGACATTATCTTTATCTACATATAAAAGAGTAATTTCCCAGTGGGTGTCTCAAATTACACGACTTGACCTCGGGGGGGGGGTTGGGTTTCTTTCAATGGAAATAAAATAACCTCACTTTCACCTAAACAATATTTTGGATAATATACCAAAAAGATTACAACACGACTATTTAAGGCTAGAATTCATTTGGAAATCCCTTTCAAATTACAGAAGCATACCCGGAAAACTGAAACCAAATCTATACAGAGTCTACGCCTTCAACTTGTTGTTTCGCCAGATATCTTTCCCTCCTTTCTTTCTGAACAAACACAAAATGGAAGTGAACATGAAGAGTGAAATTCGTTTGATTCAAAATATTAGAAGATTTGCATACCAAAACTAAGGATAAACTCACCCATTCATCTATCACCAGCCCTTCTCCAATTATTTTTGGACCTGTTTCTTCTGCTGGTTTCTTGCGCGCCTCAAGTGCAGCATCGGCCTCCGCTAATTGGCGCTTCAATTTTTCTAAAGCCTACACAGAAACAGAAATGAAACGGGTTACTACTCAAAATTATTATATACTTCTTTTCTGATTTATTATCATTAAATAAACCAACTTACAGCATTAGGACGCTCTGGATCCAGGAAAACAACCCGCAATATCTGTTCTATAGACACTTGGTCCTTCTGCTCATCAAACTGGATCAAGATAGAAAAAAGAAGAATGTTTGATCAGTATTCATTTTGCTTGCTTGTCCTAGTCCGGCATGGAAAGGCATAGATTCTGGCTGTTAGGAAAGTTAAAAGGCCATTCTAAAACAAGCAACGAGTGAACTAAGTGATATTCATAAGTTTGAAGGTATGTATTAAGAATAGTTAGGAGTAAGACCTCTATTTTTTTTTTCTTCTTTTAATGAGATTAGCTAAGTGAAATATACAGGGGTGAGGGAGCCAAAACTAGGGTTACAAGCAGGCCCACCAGTTTATCATAAGGTCACTTAAACTAGTCTGTAAAAGGAGGGAAGAAGCATTACACCATTCAAAAGAAGACCAAAATTTTTTAATTACATGTCCTAACCAGAAAATGAATATTGACAAAACTCTATTAAAAACACAACCAAATCATGAAATATGATGGCCAGCGACTGATATGTGATGCATATACCGCTAAGGAGACTATTCACCAAAACTTTACTTCTCATCAAATGTTCAACCTAAATTTGTGAAGAATCTTGTGCGGAACCAATAGTCCTTTCATTGTGGCGATTATTAATTAAAACGGCATACAGACCTCGCTCACCAATGAACAACATATAGCCCTCTAATTCTGACAAGTGACAACTGAAACTCCTCTACATATTGACAATTCCGTTTCCTCTTACAGGATCATCAATAAGCTAAAGTGAAACAAGACAAGACTGCATGTTTGTAGCACTAAGACCTTGATTAACTTGTTGAATAAAACTCCCAACAAAGCATAAATAATTGGAAAAAAGCAAGCTAAGGGAAGGGTGAGACTCACCAGTTCAGGCACATAATCCATTTGTCCTTTCACCTTCAAGCTCATAATTTTAAACTTAACCCTGTTGTTCTTTTGATCCACAGGTTTCTCGTTGTTTTCGGGAACCTCAACAAACTTGAAAACTAGGAGATCCATCCAACATTGACAGCAAATAAAAATTATAAATTAATAAGAAACGTCAAAATTCACCAATTTCAAGAACAACGATAAAGAGAAATAAGCAAATTAATGATCGCGGCTGCTATATATGAACCTAGGAACAGACACAAAATGGATAAGACATCCAGGAAAATAGTTTACCAGTGGCTATGAGGCTCTCTCCAGGGGCAAGAATAGCACCAGGAGGACGCATGAAACAACTTTTTGGTGCAGTGGTTTGGAACTATACGAACATTCAAACACAATGGATCAGTAATCACAATAAGCCTAATTTTACAGACAGTATTAGGAAGGAAGAGAGCTATTTTTGGAAATCATAACTATTAACTACTACTAACACACGAACTCACTGCCTAATGTCCAGTGATCAACAAGACTGTAAAACAAAATATCTGTATTCTCGAATATGGAGACAAAAATGCAAAACTACAATGCCTAGAATAGGACGTTCATTCGCACCTTGAATGCAACATAAGATTTGCTTGTATTTTTTATTCCAATGGCACTCCTGACCTGCTTGCCAGGTTCATCTTCAAAAACAGAAAGATAAATCAATTAAACCTAAGATCGCCCAGAAACTCGAATCAATTCGAAAATTCAAACTTTCTAAATCCGAAATGCAGCTGATAGTTAAAAGTCAACACAGATCGAGATCATACCTATAATGAGCAGAACAAATCCAACTAAGAATAATCAAACAAAAATTCATAAAACGAAATTAAAAAAAAAAAAAAAAAAAAACTCACAAGGAAAGAAAAGCTTATTCGATGGATCGAGCTTGAGCCGGCGCCGGGTAGGAAGCAGCGACCTAGCAACGGAGGAGACAGAGGCAGAGGTGTGAGGATTTGTCCTCTCCACAGGCGGATTAGTCTGATGAGAGGTACGATACGAAGTAGTAGCGCCACTAGCGGAATGCCGAAACGTTTGCTTCAAAAAACCCCAAACCTTTCCATCGGACGTTGACTTTTGATCATCAATAGCCATCATTGAAACCTCCGTGAGCTCAATCAAAGCATCGGACAGGAAACAAACTCGTCGTTGGCCTTCGAAAATTCACGCGGAGTACCAGCCACGGCAGTTTAAAGTGGCCGTTAAGAGGA